TCCTGCTGACCCTCGCTGCAGACCTACCCAGGTAGAGGATCTGCTCCTGCTGCCCCTGGCTTTCATCGGTCACCCTGGAACCCCGCTGGCTGCCAGGTCCCTGTGTGCATGCCCACTCGTGTGCCCTTGGCGACTGTCAGACCTCTGTGTCACCCCACATCATTCAAGGCCTGTTAGGAAGGTCTCCAGGCTTCTCAGTCAGTTTTTTCCCCATGCTGTATCCCCGTGACTCCAGGAACTGGTGGACCTGGTGAAATGATCCTGGAGTCTGAGTGTCGGGGAAGCCGAGCAGGCTGGTGTCCTTCGGCTCAGCCTTAAGGCAGCGAGGAGAGGCTGGCCTAAACAGAGGCCGCGTGGGCGGTGTGAGCAGCAGGCTGCAGTGTCCAGCCCTCCTGCGGTTCCCCTCCTGTCACATTGCTGTCTTAACCTCTAAAGAGCGGCAGGCTGGACCAGATGGCAGTTTGTGGGGAAACAGCGGCCTGCTCAGACGACCCGTTCCTACACTGCTGCCTGAGTGCTGGGTGGCTGCCAACGCAGGGACCCTGCCCGCTGCTGTGCTGCCCACTCATCTGGGCCCTGACTGCACCAGGCACTGTTTCCAGAAGGGCCCTGCTGCCCTCCTCCCGCCCATCCCTCCTGCTGGAGCACCCCGTCACTGTGGCCGTTTCTCCCTTGCAGTATCGTGTGACCGTGCCACTGATGGGGGCCGTGTCCGACCTGTGTGAGGCTCTCTCCAAGCTGTCAGGCATCGCCGCAGAAAACGTAAGGCCAGGTGACTGGGGCCCTTCGTCTGCTAGGGCCTCTTCTAGCCCTGTGGAGATACTTCTGACCTGTAACCCTGTTGGGGGTACTTGTTACTGGGGGCCCAGCACTAAGGTGATTATTCACGTGCGCCTCGGTGCCTCTCCTCCTGACTGAGTGCTGTGGCCGACACTGTCCCTTCTGGCTCCTGGTAGTACTGTCCTTCCTCCATTGGGGTCACACTTGCCAAGGTCCGAGGGCCTCGAGGAGGGCTCTGCTCTAGCACTATGTGCTAGGGGTGGCGTGAAGAAATTCCCCAGCAGCCTCGGGATGACCGCCAGTCTTTGGACAGCATTCACTCCTGCCACTCGAAGGCAGATGTGCCAGCTTGTGTGAGGCTGGTGGTGGCCCTGCTGTGCCACGTCCTCTCGGGCACTGGTCCTTGAGACACTCCTGCAGGACATTTTATTTCATGTTTCTGGGTCTTCAGCAGTTAGTAGGAGCACCGGGACCAGCAATTAACATAATGGCTATGTCGCTGGACTCCCATGTAGTCAACCATGGTTTGAGTCCCAGACCTGATGAATTAAACTCACGCCAGGCACATGTGTGTGCATGCCCAAGATCCCAAGAGGAGAATGGAGGAGGAGGGATTGTGGCGTGGCCATCCACCCTGGGGGGTGATTTCTCATTTTCTGTCTGTCTGGCGAGTGCACATGCCCTGTAGCAAAAACCTTTCCCATAAAAAACAGTTCATAGGAGCACCTTAGCCGTCCTGTAACCTTCCCGTTACTGTCGATCTGCAGATGGTGGTCACAGATGTATATAATCACCGGTTCCACAAAATTTTCCAAATGGATGAAGGTCTCAACCACATCATGCCTCGGGACGACATTTTCGTGTGAGTACTCAGCAGCTTCCGCTTCAGGGGCGGGGGGGGTCTCCGAGCACAAGTCCTGGCAGTCTTGCTCACATGGCCTCGGCCTGCCCCTGGGTGTTCGAGACCGTGCTCAGGAGGTCATGGGGGCTCATGGTGCTGTGCTTCCCTGGTGCTGCAGAGAAGACGTTCTGCTAACTCGCAGCATGGCACAGCCTTCGTTGGCAGTGGCTGCCTGGTAAGGCCCGTCCATGGCCCTTAAGGCAGTCCTGATGCCAGGGATGCGATTCTCACCGCTGCACGAGGGAAAAGGAGTCCTTTTTAAGGATGAGTTGATCATTAAGAAAGCAGCAACAACATCTAGTATGTCTGCCCTGTAAGGCAGGGATCTTACCGTTCGTGGAGGGAACTCTCCAATCCGACGTTAGGGTCGCTGGACTCCCATGTAGTCAACCATGGTTTGAGTCCCAGACCTGATGAATTAAACTCACGCCAGGCACATGTGTGTGCATGCCCAAGATCCCAAGAGGAGAATGGAGGAGGAGGGATTGTGGCGTGGCCATCCACCCTGGGGGGTGATTTCTCATTTTCTGTCTGTCTGGCGAGTGCACATGCCCTGTAGCAAAAACCTTTCCCATAAAAAACAGTTCATAGGAGCACCTTAGCCGTCCTGTAACCTTCCCGTTACTGTCGATCTGCAGATGGTGGTCACAGATGTATATAATCACCGGTTCCACAAAATTTTCCAAATGGATGAAGGTCTCAACCACATCATGCCTCGGGACGACATTTTCGTGTGAGTACTCAGCAGCTTCCGCTTCAGGGGCGGGGGGGGTCTCCGAGCACAAGTCCTGGCAGTCTTGCTCACATGGCCTCGGCCTGCCCCTGGGTGTTCGAGACCGTGCTCAGGAGGTCATGGGGGCTCATGGTGCTGTGCTTCCCTGGTGCTGCAGAGAAGACGTTCTGCTAACTCGCAGCATGGCACAGCCTTCGTTGGCAGTGGCTGCCTGGTAAGGCCCGTCCATGGCCCTTAAGGCAGTCCTGATGCCAGGGATGCGATTCTCACCGCTGCACGAGGGAAAAGGAGTCCTTTTTAAGGATGAGTTGATCATTAAGAAAGCAGCAACAACATCTAGTATGTCTGCCCTGTAAGGCAGGGATCTTACCGTTCGTGGAGGGAACTCTCCAATCCGACGTTAGGGTACTTGGCCTGTTGGTAGGTCCAGGAGCCAGAAAATGGCCATGGTGAACCTGGAGCCTGGCCCAACCTCACTCCAGGGCCTGGTTGGTGTTTTGTGTTTTGTTTTGGGCCATAGGACACATGCTCTCTAGAGAGACGGAGAGAGAAGAGAAAGAAAGCACCTCACACTGGGGTGTGGTCACACTCCAATCCCTTCTCCCATTTCTTCATCCTGTAAGATTTGGAGCAGGCATGCAGATGCCTCTGGCATGTTTTTCAAGCCATCAGGACTAGGATTTGACTTTTTTTTTTTTTTTGGGAGAGGTTTTCTCTATAGGGCGCGTGCGCTCGCCAAACAGACAGAGACTGAGAGACAGAAAGTGAGAAATCACCCTCCAGGGGGGATGGTCACGCCGCAATCCCTTCTCCTCAGTTCTCCTCTCGGGATCTTGGGCACGCACGCACACGCGCCCAGCATGAGTTTTAAGCCACCGGGTCCGGGACGCAAACCACGGTCGACTACGTGGGAGTCCAGTGACATAGCCATTACGCTAACTGCTGGTCCTGGGACTAGGGTTTGAATCATGTAATTTGCCATGTGGGGGTCCAGCTCTCTTATTCACAAGGCCACAGGGATTGCCCTAATTTCAATGAGAAATAAAAAACAAAAACTTGGGACCAGCAGGTGGTATAATGTCTACATTGCTGGACTCCCACATAATTGACCACAGTTCGAGTCCCGGACCTGGTGGCTTGAAAGTCGCCAGGCATGTATGTACCCAAAATCCTGAGAGGACAGTGGAGGATAAAGGATGCAGCATGGCCTTCACCCCTGGGTGTGTGTGTGTGTGTGTGTGTGTGTGTGTGTGTGTGTGTGTGATGTATAATTTGTTGCTTTCTATCTCTCTGTCTCTCCAGCAAGTACACACACCCTATAGCAAAAGTCTCAGAAACAACAGCAAAACTTTGTTTTAAGAATTAGCTGACACCGTTCATCTTTTTTTGAGAGAGAGCAGGAAAAACACCCCTCGAAGGACCTGGTTACACTATAATGCTTTCTCTCCAGTGTTCCTTCCTGTCATGTCCTGGTCAGGCGTGCACAAGTATATTCTTATTAGGCTCAAATTCAGTGGCTCATATGGACACTGAGTTGAATTTGACCTGTATTTCAAGCCGCCCAGGGCTGGGAATTCAACCCTGGTTGGCCATGTGGGATCTGGTCTCCACTGCACAGTATCTAACCACTGTGCTACAGGGCCACCTCTGAGGCCAGAGAGAGAGAGAGACAGAGAGAGAGAAAGCCACCAGGTCTAAGACTTGAGCTGCAGTCAGCCATGTTGAAGTCCAGTGCCTTAACCACCACGCCACCTGCTGGCCCCCCGAAGGCCTGGTTCTTAACTAGCATGCTGGGCCACAGGGTCCTTACCCTAGAGCGAGCACATGATGGACAGTTTTGTGTGATTCTTAGGAATTCCCACATAAACTGCAGTCAGGACTGTTCCCCAGGTATTTGGGAAGGTATGTGTGTGCGTGTGCGTGTTTGCGTGTGTGTGCGTGCGTGTGCGTGTGTGCGCGCGCTTGCGCGTGTGTGTGGTTTTCAGAAATTTGAATGAGTAAGTTTGTCTCCCCCTATAGGAAGAGGGAAAGACTACAGTCGGTTGCCAGCAGTTGTGGTAACATCAGTTCCAGGATAAAACATCTGTAATCTCCTCAGTCCCATGTATTCACTCATAAGTAAGACACATTTTTCAAAATCGTTCACATTTAGTACTTTCTTTGGTTATCTCTGATTTATTAAAAATCAGATATGATTCTCTTCAGTGTTTTTGAGCAATGATGGCAAATAATTAGTTTTATAAATTTTCTTCCTTGTTTTAAAAAATGTCTTTGGATACTATTCAAGGTGTGCCTCCCTGTGCAGCATTTGGTCTTCTGAGATGGCACTGGGGCCAGCACGTGGTGGTGGTGAAGGCACTGGGCTCCCACGTGGCCTGCCACTGTTCAAGCTTCAGACCCGTTGGCTTGAAAGGCACGCTGGGCGTGTGTGTGTGCGTGTCCAGAATCCTGAGAGGAGAATGGAGAAGAGGGGTTTACAGTGTGGCCATCCCCCCCGGGGGCTGATTTCTCGTTTTCTATCTCTCTTTCTCTCACTATCTGTCTGGCGAGTGCATACGCCCTACAGCAAAATAAATAAATAAATAAATAAATAAATAAATAAATAGCAAAAGCAAAAAAAAAAAAAAAATGTTTTAGATT